ATTAACAACACTAATCCTTATATTATTCTCATTCTTTTGTAATATATGAATCTTTACTTCGTTTGTAATAGTAAGATGGATATTATTTTGCTCATTGTTAGAATTAGTTGGTAATTTTATTTTATAAATTTTAAATTATTTGATTAATAAAGTAAATAATTTTCTTTCAGTGATCTGAGAAAAAAAGCCAATTCCGTAGACCAATAATGTTCTAAATGAAGTAACTCTAACTCAAGAAGAAAAAAAGTTGTATGCCCAAAAATTGTTTCTAATTCATTTATTTGAATATATCTAGAGCACAAGATAAAGTAAAAATAACATTAATAAACATTAAGCTGAAGACAATTTTAAATTAATAATTATGTTTGTTGAGGAATTTAAAATGATTTGAATATTTTCTTCAGCTCATTAATCATTTCTTTTGTATTTTTCTTTTGCGAAAAAAAACACGTTTTTTTTCCATTACTATAATTATACTATGTATGTATCTTCTCTTGTCCACCATTTTTTTTAAATTCTCTCTTTATTATTTTTTATTTATTTATTTACTACCTCGGAACAATAATAATACCCAAATATTATTAATTTACATAACTTATTTATTATCATTCATATTTTTTAATTTCTAAAAATTCATTGACCATTTGTTTTTAATTACTATAATAATCATTTTTGTATCATAAATTAATCAATTTATTTAAATTTATTACCTAGTCACTTAATTATTTAAACTTATACTTGGAAATCTTTAAAGCATTTTTTATCATTTTTTAATAATTTTATTGAATATTATTTAAAAAATACATAAGAATTTATATGAACCTCCTTAATAAATTAAATTAACCCAACTTTTATAATTAATTTTTTGGAAGAAGAACCTTTTTTTTATTCATATATTCTTTTCTTCCTGTGCTATACTCATTATTAACATATACAAATAGCTCGGGTGTAGTCCCATCCTCATATTACTTCATGTCTGGGTTACAAGGTTTATTGGTATCTTTAAGTAAAAAAATCGGTATAATTATATGAAGGATGGGCCCTCAATATAATTCATCACGTGCGTTCACATTTGAGCAGGTCTATGACCAACGCGCTATTAAAAGATTTTTCTTTCACACTTTTAAATGTTAAGTTTTCAAGTAGAACAACTTGCAAAAAAAATAATAAATTTCTCAAAAATTGGAAGACAATAAATCAATTTTATCAGAAATAACTTACTTTCTATAATTTTTTAAAAACAATTATAAATTAATAAATTTTTCTATATAATTTTAAAAATAAAAATAAATTTATAAGAATCAGAATAATAATAATATTCTTCTTTTTTATAATCATTACATCTTCCATATAAATAAAGATTTATTAATAAACCATTCCAAAAATAAATTCTTATATTTCTTCTTCTTTTACAACAACACTGATAAAATGACAATATTTCCTTTCGGTATAACGATGACTTGCCAAAAGAACTATTAATTGTGATTAAAGATGACTTGACCAAATAACAAAAAAGGTTACATATATATAACAATTATATTAAAGTGCTGTGTTCACAGCCTCCTCACATTGTTTGTCACTTTGTCCAACATCGACCATTACCTTATTTTACACGAAATTGTAAATTATAAAGAAAACCTTATTATATTTTATTCACTTGAAACTGATCCCTACATTGTTTGTTAACCCCCCCCCCCTCCTCTTGTCCAGTATTAACCTTTATTTTGTTTTACTCGAAATTGTAAATTATAAATTAATCTTGTTATTTATATTTTTTTTCACTTGAAACTATTAATTAATGTATATTCTTCATTTATTATTGATTATATATCTAATAATTTAATTTTTATAGGTTATTTTTATATCATAAGAAAATGATTCCACTTTCAATTAATAGATGGTATATCAAAAAATAAGCATTCGTAGTTTACCTGGGTATTTGAAGTGTAGTCGAACCCAAAAATTGTCATTAGTCCTTAGAAATTTATCTTTATATTTTATAAATAACAAAAATATTACCCCCCCCCCCCCAAAAAAAAAAATTTTTAATAAATTATTTATTATCCACTCTTTCCCTCTTTTCACGACAAATTCCTGCCCATGCGCCCTCATTATTTATACATTTTTTTTTAAAAAAAAAGGTTTAAAAACATTTAACGAATCGTATGAAGCCATAAATATTATCCATATTTTAAATGACTCGATTAATCCTTGGAATAAAAACCAAAATACACTTAATCATTCACATTTCCTAAATATCGCCTTGCCTAGTGTTGTCAAACGGCTAGCCGAAATAAAATTACGCAATCATCGAGGCGATTTCGTTAATAGATGTCCAAACCTTTCCGCAATCTATGAAGCGGCATCTCCGGACTGCGAAATATTTTTCGGCTAAAAAGGATTTAGTCAGCCGTTAAGAAAACTTATTAAGTGTTTTGTTTTATATTTATGATATTCAAAATGAATAGATATCTCAAATAACAATTGATCTAAACAACAATCGTATTGATTTGAAATTTGTGGATTTGACACTAGTACTGTTAAAAAGGCCGATTTAAGATTTTTAGCCATATAATAATATTATGCGAAGCATCGAGACTGGGCAAATACAAAACATTCGAACATTTTCTGCTGGCTATGAGCAGCAACATCTTTTAGGTTTGGGTAATGTTCTTTCGGTTATAATCTTAACCCGAATCGAACTTTTGCAACAACATGGATCGAGACAGTCCTAATTCTTATTTACGTTTTATTCGTTTATATCCCCTTTCTTAGAGTTTTCGTTCGTTTGTAAAGAAGAGACTTTTTATGGTACCCGATGATACATTCAATCGAAATCGGCACAGATATTGGTGACTTGAAAAGGTGAATCGATCCGATATTCTTTAAAAACCGATGAGCACACACATTTGTTTATTTTTTATAATATTCAGATAAGGGGATGGTAAAAGCATTTCAAATTGTAAACAAAAAAACAAAAACAATGCTTTTAAACGAAATTTTGAAACAAAAATTTATTATAAAGGTATCAATAAAAATATTGGTTGATTATTTTATTTTTTTTCTCCCATAATTTGATTGGATCCTAGATTATTCGCACTTAATAAGATATAAATAATACGCTTTATTTCTAACATAAACATTGACCTTACCAGAAAACGTTAAGTAGAGAAATATTTTTAAAAAAAATTAAATAGACCAAAAAAAGCTTCTTTTTTTTAAATAGAAGTTAATAGTGAAATTAGTGTTGTTAAACGACTTGTTTTGGGCTGATTTTTTGGATTCTATCCAGAAAATATTGTTTAAGCCTCGAGATTTCGGTAATATAAGTCTAGTCCTTTGTTCCTTCTGTGAGCAAAATCTTCATGCTAGTGTAATATTTTACTGGATGAAATATTGAATTAGCCCTGTTTTAAAAAGCGGCTTAAAATGAGCCGTTTAACAACACTAGAAATATATCTTATAAATTTTGATACCTTCAAAAAATCTTTCGTTCCTATATTATCAATCGATTGAAAAGGTGAGGAGTCAGCACAGCATAATGATAACACATTCTTTGCTAGAGAAGCCATTTTTTTAGAAATTTTGGTTATGGTTATATAGTGTTGTTAAACGGCTAACTCAATATTTTAGCCAGAAAAATATCGTTTAAGCTTCGAGATTTCGATAATATAAGTCTAAACCTTTGTTTCTTCTATGAGCAAAATCTAATATTATTCTGGATGAAATATTGAGTTATCTATCCCTTTTTTAAAAAAATGGGCTCAAAACGAGCAGTTTAACGCTAAGTGAAATATTCTGATTACATCTTAACCTTTTCATGCAAAGAAAAAAAAATGGGTCATATTTATTTGTTGTCACTCTTTTTGAAACTTAAGTGAAAAAATATTTTTAAAAAAAAGCTTTAAGGTGGGGAGATTTTGTATTATCATACAAAAAGTTACCACCCCCCCCCCCTCCCAAGTATATTATATATTGTCCTAGAGTGAATGAAAGGTTTTAAAATAAAAAAGCCCAACCTAAAAAGCTTAAAATTTTATTAGAAAAAAATACATTATCAACATCAGATAGATAAGTAGTTTTTAAAAAAAAATGTATGTTGCGAAAATCTGAGAACCCCGAATATACCTAAACAAGCGCAGCACTTATTCGCGGTCTAAAATAATTTTTTCCAAGTCATGGGATCGTGTTTTAAAAAAGGGAGTATCTTTTTAATAAGATAATACTAGTAAACGAATCTCAGGTCTCACCGACTAACCAGCTCGCCCATAGTTTATTAGGGGTTAACCCCCTCCCCTCATTTATCTAGCTGATTTCGCCCAAAAGATACTTCAAAAAATCGCCCATCATTTTAAAAATATATTTTAAAGCACCCGCTAGTTGGACCAATTTTTAAATTGGTAAAATCCTGTTCATTGCAGACCTCTTATATGAATCCCTGGACTAAAAACGGAATAAACATGGCCGTCACATTAATGTCTTCCTGATTTAGATATTTATTATTCAAAATATATTTGCAATCGTAATTACTTACTTTATCAATGTTATCTTTACGAAATTTAAATATATAAAGAGCACGTAAGTAAGAAAATTTTCTAAATACAAGAAACAAGCAAAAATCTCCGGAACGACCTTAAGATTCGTGGTCCGAACTCATTCTTAAGCTTGGGTTCCAACCAAACCAAAGATTGGATCTTGAGTTTGGGTTCGAATCAGACCAAAGATTGCATCTTGAGTTTGGGTTCGAACCAGACCAAAGATTGCATCTTGAGCTTTATTAGTTAAAAGATGACTCTCGTCTGAGAATAACGCAGTCTCCGTTTCAAGAAATACCTTGAAATTATGCAACATATTTAGGTAACGATTACGCTGCAAGTAAAAAGAAATCGTAGCATAAGAATAGTGGTGTATATATATATATTTATGTACAAATAAAATTATTATTTCTGTTATTAAGGACAATATATAATAAGCCTGTTTTGGATAAAAGCTCTCTGAAAATTATATATAAATAATATGGTTCTTTTTAAAACTTTATATAATGTCGTCATATATATTTAGAAATAAATTATATATAAATAATATATTTTTTTGGTCATTTTAAAATATATATTTTACAGAATTTTAAAAATGAAGTCGTTCCATATGGGTAAATAGGTAGCTTCAGCCTAAATGCACATTTTTCTAGTCTCTCGCTCAAGTAGGAATTAAATTCAAGTAAAAATTAATCAATATTCTTAAAAGGACATGTTATATTCTTTTTAATCTCTTCAATTCTTCCTTCCGCAAAAATGTATCTTCCCCTGGCGTGTCGACTTCCCTTTTATTAACTAGAGTATTAAGCTGAATATTGTCTCCTTGGTCGTACGAGACAACCTCTTCGTCGTCATCTTCACTTAATGCATCCTTAATTTCATCTTCCATATTTTGTATGAGCTCCGCCGACAGGGATCCAAAGAGAATGCTTTCGTCAAAGGCAGCAGTATTTTGCTGTTGAGACGACTTCTCGCGTTGAGGTGGAAAGTGACCATCAAAATTCGTGCCAAAAGAATTTCGATGATTATTCCTCCACCCACCTTGCGAAAATTCGGGGGCTCTTGACCGTTTGACCTTTTTACCCGTTATTTTATCGTAAAAATAAACGGATTCGGTAGCTAAAGAATTGTTAGGGGATTTAATTTTCGCATCGGTCACAGGGTAAATTGCTAAATTACCCCTACTTTTAAGTGCTCGAGTATTATAGGAACCCGTCCTTGGAGGCCGTTTTTCTAAATCGATCGGTATCAATTTCCACGGAAACAAAGTCACGGTTTTATCTCCGGTATGATCAAAGTCGGTGGATGAACGCGCTTCCTGCCTAAATTTTTTTAGAAAAACAAAAAAAAAATTGTTTAAATATAGTCATGTAAAGAATTTAACGTCTTATCTGGTAGTAAAACATCTTCGCGCAATGAGAATAGTTTTTCGCTGCTTCTCTCCCATCTTTCGTAACAACTAGTCAACCATTCTTGATTTACGATGGATATATTTCCCAACTTCTTGGCTTTGTGAACTTTATTGGTCCCTTTGATAGCGGCTATCAGATGGGTAGTAACTTTTATAAAAAAAATAAATAGATATTAACAATCTATCCAGGAGAAAATGCGATATTACCATTAGGGGCGATTTCCGATGTCACCGTAGCACCTAGGCTTATCGCCATTTTGCGTTCTTTACTGTGCGCCAGCGGTATATGTTTAGGAAAAACGCCGCTAAATACTATACTCACGCCAGACAATATCTCTTTCCTAATATCGGGGACTATTAAAATTTTAAAAAAAATACAATTGAATATTAATTATACACCTTTCAAATTTGTTTGTTTTTTTTGAAGGTGTTAACATATAGAATGCATACTTATATATTTTAGGCTGGGTAATTTTTCGTCGACATCGATGTAAGTCGAGGGCGACATTTTTTGAATGCCATTGTATTTAGAGAAAAATCGCTTATGTATCCTTATAAGAATATCCTCTAGGTAATACAAGTAATCATCGGAATCCTCCCATTCTTCCATAGTCATGTCCATGACTGGCACTCCGGCGTTAAGATCGTCGGTCTCAGTCGATCCGCAGTGCAATTTTTTGATATCTTCCTTTCGCTTGCTAACTACGTTAGTTAGGTTTATGTATAAATCTGAATCCTGTGCGATATCTTGATTAGTGATACTGATTGCTGGTTCTACAATGGACTCTGGTTTTAAAGGGAAAGAGAAAAAAATCAACTAGATAAATGATATTTTGCATTATTCAAAAACATATGATTACTTAAGGTAGATAAATATTTGTTTCGAAAAACAGATGTTTATAAGCAAAAATCACGTGGATTATTAGATTGAAACAAAAATAATATCAAATTTGTAAGTTTGTAACAGGAACCAAAGCCCTTTTTTAAAATTACAATAACCGAACCCGGAACAAGAATAAATTTTTAGAAGTTTCCAGAATAATTTCTGATACCAATTCTAACAAAAAGTATAATTTATTTACGTATTATAAACGTACAAAATGTTGTTTGTGATTTATTTTATAGGTATTTAAATAGTTATGAAATGCTCTTCAAGGATTGTTAATATTCTGAGAAGATTTAGCCAGGATATTGATCCAATTTTACCTAAAATTCCTAATCTTTCATGATTAAGAAAATCTTCAATTTCGAGATCTTCAAAACCTATTTTTTTTAATACAGTTCGAAAACCGCATCAAATTATCCGATGCAATTTATAAAAATATTTACAATTATAGGAAAATTATAAGTTATTTACGTATTATAAACGTACAAAATGTTGTGCGTGATTTATTTTATAGGTATTTAAATAGTTATGAAATGCTCTTCAAGGATTGTTAATATTCTGAGAAGATTTAGCCAGGATATTGATCCAATTTTACCTAAAATTCCTAATCTTTCATGATTAAGAAAATCTTCAATTTCGAGATCTTCAAAACCTATTTTTATTACAGTTCGAAACCGCATCAAATTATCCGATGCAATTTATAAAAATATTTACAATTATAGGAAAATTATAAGTTATTTACGTATTATAAACGTACAAAATGTTGTGCGTGATTTATTTTATAGGTATTTAAATAGTTATGAAATGCTCTTCAAGGATTGTTAATATTCTGAGAAGATTTAGCCAGGATATTGATCCAATTTTACCTAAAATTCCTAATCTTTCATGATTAAGAAAATCTTCAATTTCGAGATCTTCAAAACCTATTTTTTTTTATTACAGTTCGAAAACCGCATCAAATTATCCGATGGAATTTATAAAAATATTTACAATTATAGGAAAATTATAAACTAAATTTTTTTATTTTAAATAAAGCTATTATTATAAAAAATCTTAGGACAATCAATTCCGGCATTTGGAACGTGGATTTTCTGATTCCAATTTTCTTCCAGAAATTTTCGAGTGGGGTTCTGGTTATAAAATTTAATAAATTAAGGGCTATGAACCAAAATTTAGAGTTCAGAAAGGCCATAGGAACCAAATGACCCATCTAACCCGTTGTAAGGTGATTCCAGGGCGGTTAGATACCTTTCAGGAGAAATAGGTTTCGATTAAGTTTCCGTTGTTTGCTTTACCGCTGAATCGAGTTTAGGCTTATTGAATGCCAAATAGGATTTGGTAGCCTTGCAATTATTTGAACTTTTGTTAGGGTTTCTCTTACTGAATCGCTAAAAATCTGTTTGGGGAATCTCGTTTTACAATCTTCTAAAATAATCATAATTAGATCCTAGGGAAGTAGACTCATATATTTTCTATTAGATAAATGGAGATATCAATCAAGATTTCGAATCTTTAAGATATTTCCCACATTTTTGGCGATTTTTTTTTGAAGAATTCAATTCAAATAAAATTCTTTTACTTCTCTTCTAGCATCTATCAATATTATTTTCAATGTTGCTTTTAAAAAAATTTCTAAGAAATATATAGATACCCACTTTTTAACGATTCAGAACCTGATCTCTTATGTTAGAACCAGTTCCTGTAAAATTTCAAAATAGACTCTGGAGGATGCCAACTTGTTCATTTTTTTCCCTCGGCGGATTTCGTGCGCGTCCCAGAGATGGGAGAACTCGAGGATTTAATGCTCCTCACTCGCCGCGACGGATAAGTCTGGTAACACTGTTAAAATAATAATTAAGCGAGATTTTGCAAAGAGAAAAAAAAATGATGAAAGAACAAGATGACAGAAATAAAAATAAACAGTTTCAAAATTTAGGCGCTTTTTAAAATTAATTATTAACTATCCTGAGATTTGCATCTTTCTGCGATCTGCAGGAAATTTTCGAGGCTGTGATAGCATTTCTTTGGCTAAAATATTGATTTAGGGTGTTTTTTTTAGAAAAAGCTCAAGGCTTTCGAATAAAACGAAGACAACTTATATCAATTATAAGCGAATCCGATTATGTAGATAATTATTATATGTGATGTCCGAGCTACTAAAAAAAATATAATCCGAATGTTGCCAACTATACCTTCTCTTACGGTGGCAACAGGCCAAAACTTAAGTTTTATTTTTTACTCCACGATCATCTATTCATTTGCAAATGTCCAAGTCGTTTCTCCGTTTAAAATTAAGTTTTGATAGATAGAATATTCTCGATTTTCACGTTTCCCTCTTGGGTAACTATATTTCTGATCTCCTGGGAAGAGATCATGCAGGTATTCTCAATCATCATAACGCAAAATTTTAAAACATAGTTACAAGTTTCTTTAGGTTACACGTAATTTTCGTAAAAGCATATCTTGTAGAACAGAAGTGATTGTGGTTAGGAGCTATTATAATTTTATATTCCAGGAGGTGGTGATAGCAACTAGGGAATAAAAATCAAATATTTTGGGTCGTTTAAAATTAAAAGTTCTGGTTGATAGAATATTCTCGATTTTCACGTTTCCCTCTTGGGTAACTATATTTCTGATCTCCTGGGAAGAGATCATGCAGGTATTCTCAATCATCATAACGCAAAATTTTAAAACACAGTTACAAGTTTCTTTGGGTTAAACGTAATTTTCGTAAAAGCATATCTTGTAGAACAGAAGTGATTGTGGTTAGGAGCTATTATAATTTTATATTCCAAGAGGTGGTTAAAGCAACTAGGGAATAAAAATCAAATATTTTGGGTAGTAGGTAGCAAAACTACACAAAGTTTTTCTCACATAAATAGCTTGTAAAATGGGATAACAATTATCCAGTCAAAGGGGGAATTTATTCCATTCGCCCAGCCTAGATATGTGAATAAAAGTCGAAATCGCCGCCATTTTTATGTTAGAAATACATGATTCCTCGAGGAATAAATAAATTCCATCTATCTTAATAGCCATTAAAGATGGCTAGATTTTTTTTCCAACAATTTCAACAAGTTTAATTAGATTTTTATTGGGTATGAGGAATTGTTGCATGAATATTGTAAAAAATCCTCCATTGGCCACTGGTGATAGACATTCGCGTAAGAGAAATAATTAGTTTTGGCCAGAAAAACTATGTTTAGCTATGCTGCTAAATTTTCATTATTTTACGGCCCAGCTCTTTGACCCACATGTTTTCGAATTCTGTCAATTATCAAAACTGAATATGATTTTATCTACTTGAAATGTATGTTATCAATTTTCTAAAAAAAAATTGAATTAAGAAATAAAAATAAATTTTTTGCCGACAATAATTGTGTTGTATAATTGGTAAAAAAAAATGACTAATTCGATTCAATCTACAGATGTGTGTAAAGAAATGTGATAAGTATTGAGGCACCTTCCTGGAAAGCTCATAATAATGCTAATACAGAGTTTTGAACCAATTTTGAGGTTCGAATTAAATTGTCTAAATGGGTACAGACTCATGGGGGCAATTCAAATCAGGGGTATATTGGACCAGGGCTTTTGGATCTTTTTTGGATAATCGGTCTATAATTTTTTTTAAATGAATTGTAGCCACAATACAATTATCTTTATGCTTAAATTTCTTAATTATCTTTTTAATATAAGGATATTGGCTTTCAAAAAAAAGTGTTGCCAATACATTATTTAATTATAAAGAAATGCCAATTTATGTTAAGAGTTAGACCCAGACCAGTTCAAGCCCATAGAAAAAAATCACAAGAACCTAACGCATTGATTTTTTGCACCAAGGCCTATGCCCTCAGCTCACCAATTCAATTGTGAATTTTGTGTAGAATAATCAACTTGCTTTTAAATAGTTAGATATATTTTGAGGATTGCATTCACAATTTTGCTTCTATTCATTAGCATTACATATCTAAATCTTGCCTCCAGAGTGAGCTTTAGCAAACACGTGACTTAATAGAATATTAAATTTTCAGTTTTAACTATTAGAAAGAACAATCATGCTAATAATAAATTTTGAAGGCATAATATTTTGCTGCTTTTTTAATTCCTATTATCCTTAAATATTTAGTTAGATGAATACCAAAATATTTATTTTCAAAGTGCATGCGTTGATTTATCCACTTTTCGCCAGCCAGTTAAATTTTCTTTTTAAAGAAAACATTAAAGCTGAGTTGAAGATTTTCAGTCAGATCAAGATCCACTATAAAGGTTATAATCTTTTAAACTATTGATTAAATGAAAGTTAAGACACCTTAAAAAAAATCTGTCATGGAAAATAACAGATTTGCTGCCAAAAAAAATAGAAGTTATTTGGACAAACAAAAATGATGCATGCCTGTAAGATTTCTAAGCCATATAGCATTTTTGATTTGAACCACAGTTCTGGCACAAAAAAATAATTTTTAAATAACCTAAAATTTCCCTACCTTTAATAATAGGCACTTCTTTATCATTTTCATGATTTTTACACTTTGTAGTGCCAATTAGTGGGGATTTCTGGGGTGCTTCAAGCATTATTATATCTGGATTATCAGGTTCATGTGAATCAGTATAATGAGGTATAACGATGTCTTTCAATCCATCATCTGAATCATTCATGGATGTTGAAACTTTAGCCGAACATTTAGCTTCTAGCTGTTTATATCCCTGGGGTAAATTAATGTCATCTGTAGACTCAAAAAATTTGTAAGGCTTAACATGAATTAAATTTTTGGCATAGTTCCAAACATCCTCTCTGTCATCTATAATGCAGACTAGTGAGTCATCATTCGGAAAGAGGGCCCTTAAAAAATAAATTGTTATATAATAAAACTTTTAAATATATATTAATACTTTAAATTTGCTGTCTTTGATGAAGGGTCTAAAAACTCATCTCTGGATAAAATCCTGTGGGAAAACAATCTGCCATCATTGTCTATTATGTTAGCAATGGTGTGTGCATAAGATCTAGCACCAAATGTACATATATGGAGCTCATAATAGGTACCTATTTATTATAGTAAATTAAAAATTATCATGTAAAATTGTTTAAAAAAAACACACTCATATTCTTTAAAAATTCTTTTGTTCTAGGTCGGCATTTTGTATGATACCAAACAGGTGGGCTGTTGGGTAATTGATAATGGTATACATCTTTGAGATTGGATGATATTTCATCATTGGTTGTATGAATTAGGGTATGATCTAAGTCAACAATAAGCACCAATCGCTTTTCTTTAAGGAGTCTAGTTTCATCTGCTTTACTTAATATTATAGCTTGCTAAAAAAAATAATTACAATTACATATTTAAATTATTTTAACCTCTTTATTAACTGTTAATTCAGGAATTTTATGAACAAGTGGGACATAGTTTTGTTCAGATTTACTTATATCTATATCAACTGCAGATCCACATATAGCACAGGTATCTTTAAGCAAAGTTGGGTGAGGACATCCTGGTAAAATGACTGCTATTATTTCGCTAATATATGCGGTATATACAACATTCAATTATATTTTGTTTACTTAGGCTCTATTTTATCATCAGCTTTAAAATATAGCTTGTCAACTATTCCAGTTATAGGTGATTTTAAATTAATTAGATTAGATGCATCGTGTGTTCTATATGTTATAAAAATACTGTCCTTTAGTACTATATCTTTCTCCCGGACTCTGCATTTGACTATGGTACTTGGCTTGAATCCGTAGAATCTTATTTCCAATTTTTGTAAAGAATTTGTCATTGTTCTAGCCAAAGGAATCAAAGGATAAAATAGCACAAGGAAAACTTGTAATATATATTCTAAAAATATAATTTATTAATTTAATAATAGGCTTAATATTCGTAGATCTAATATAACAATTATAATTTTAATATTATTCGAAACTATGTGGAAGGGTTGGCAAGGAATAGATAGTAATCGTAATTTCAGATATTCAAATAAATTAACAAATGTGTATTCCACGCTCCAGCTAATGAGCGTGCCAGACCACTACAGTAGATCAGTGTTCAATGTTTGGCAATAATTTACTCTACTATAAGGAGCCTACATTTAACTAAAGAAAGATGATGGTAAATAAGATTTATGAGATTAGAGATATGATATGTATATTTATAAAAGAATAAAATGAAATATAATATAATTTAGGTTATGGATTAGCTTACTTATTGCTGATTTCAAGGTTATTTTATTACGAATATATTCTCTAGAGGAGAAAAAATTATAAAGTTTTTTAAATATTTTGGATAGTAAGTTAATAGTAGCTCGACCTTCACTATTTTTGATTAGCTTCATTGTAACAGATAAAAAAAATACCCCTTTGAAGGAATAATCTAAATTGTATAGATACAATGTTGGGTTGTTGATCATCAGTTAATTTTATTTGGGTCTTCTATTACTATATAAATCAACCGATTATAATTTTTTGACATCTCAAATTGTGTGTTATCATCATCATTAGCTTAATTTTTGATATCCACATCATACTCAAAAAGTTAAGAGGCCTGTATGGATTTGTTTGAGCTTTGTCAGATATTCCAATATTTGTATGATCAACAATTATATCACAAATTCTGTCAAATGCTTCAAACTCAAATGAAAGTATTGAAAATACGATCAAATGTATCTTTGGCAAGCTATATATAATTATAATTATTATGTTATTATTTAATCAACCCTACCCGATGGCTTGTGGATATTCCTAGTTTTAATATACCATAAGGCAGTTGTGCAGATATAGTCTTGTTTTAACTTTTCTTTTAAACTTTTTATTCCAATTATAAATTTTTCATCAATGTTTTGTTGTCAGCGTCTACATGATAGGATTTTCACTGGGTGCAAACCCCCTTCAAAAACCTTTGCCTACCCCCCTAAAAAATTTGCGCCTTCTTCGGCGGCGGTGTCTCTTTGTTGTTATTTTCACCTATTTATTTATTGATACTCTTTTCAAAGAATTTATAAAGAATAACTTAAATTAATCTATCTCTACTACCAACTATCGATATTTTGTGAATATAAAGAATTTATTTTTAGTTTATTTGAAAAACAATGTGTATGATTGTTTGCAATATATAGATTTGGTCGATGAATTGTATTATAATAATACTATAATAATATTAATTTTTACTGCAATAAATTTTGTCTTATTTCATCTCAAAATTTAATAGATAACCCCCCAAAAAATTTATCCTACCCCCATTATAGCAGCTTACCCCTTACCCCCTCAAAAAAATAGGATGCAAACTGTTCCTACCCACCCCGCTCACGTAGACGCTGTTTGTTTAAGATCTTCCTGACAAAATTATATACAAGAGCTAATAATTATGAGTATTTCTAATTTATAAAGGAAATATTTATTTTTTATAAGCTCTAAAATAGCTAATCAAATCTAATAGTAGTTGGACAAATTCATTTTGTTCCACAATTATTCCCTTAATAAAATATAGGAATTAGATTATTAAATTGAACTTTTCTCAAAATCTTATAGTATTAATTCTAATTTTTTATATATCATTTTTTTTAACAGCATCTTAGCGGCGAGGTTTTTTTCATTTATGATTAATATATTCTCTATATAATTCTGGGTGGCGCCTCTATAATACAATGTTATTAAAAAGCCTGATTTATATTGAGTTTTAACAACGGTCCTATTAAGATTTTAGCCAAAAAAATAATATGTAAGAATCGAGATCACACAAATGTACAAACCTTTCTGCCATCAATGAGCAAAATCTCCATGCTCATATAATATTGTTTTGGCTAAAATCTTAATCGAAATGTTTTTAAAATTGACCCAAATCGAACTTTTTAACAACCCTTCTATAATAGATATAATTTAGTAATTTTTTTATATATAAATGATAAGATATCTAAGTTACTGGATTGGTGAGCTTATTAAAATTGGACTTCTAATTCGATATAATATAAGATCAAATTAAATTGATTGTGAATCTATTTGATATACTAATACCACTACTTATTGGGTTATCCACCTCGAACTAGAATGTACTTTCCAAAACAATTACACAAAGATATTGATAACGATAAACCAATGATATATATTGCGATAAACTTTATTAATTCATCATAATAAATTTAAAAAGGAAAAAAATGTATTGAATTTACATTTCTGTGCTACCTTTTTATAGGGAATTGAATCTTATTTAAAAAAATCCAAAATAATAATAAGTTAAAAATATATTTTTTAAAAATTATATATATCATAGTCACACTTTAAATCATAATTTTAAGCTAAAAATATACCAAAAATCATGAATCATCATTATTATACTGAAAATAAATTTTATAAATCTAAAAATATAATTCTGTAAAAAAAAAATAACTCAAAAATTGTAATACATAATAACTCAAAAATCAAATTTTATAAATATAAAATATAACTTGATAATTCTAACACGATAATTTTATAAATGTTTATTTAATTATAAAAATAATAAGTAAATTTTGTAGTCATTTTATACAATAAAAACACAATTACATTGCAGTTAGGCATAGCAATTAATTTTATTTTAAAAATTAGTCTATTTATTCGATAGTTATTCAGTGTTCTTTTTTTAAGAAGTCCAGTTCTAAGACACTTGAAAAAACAAGGGTGTCAGAGTATAAAATCTGAATGCTAATCAGAGGGTAATGACAATTGTTAGCATATATTTTATCAATGACATTGAATAATAAATCTAAAATGAAGATGCGTTCATTAAAAGTGTATATTAACGAAAAACCGCTGAGGATATGATTTAGGTTGTGCATAGCATATTATACAAAATTTAATGTTAACGAAGTATTATAATATCCTACCTAACAATTATTCCAAGGCTATTCTTACAAAGAATATGTATTTTTAATGTAAATAGATTAGCAAAAGGTCCTGTTACGTGGACTCCCACTGATTTGCATTCAACTGTGCTTTAAAGATTTGGAGTCACTTTATCACGCGACACTTTATCATGCGACAATTTATCACGACGACACTTTATCACGACGACACTTTATCACGACGACACTTTATCACGACGACACTTTATCACGACGACACTTTATCATGACGACTATCATGACGACACTTTATCACGACGACACTTTATCACGACGACACTTTATCACGACGACACTTTATCACTCAGTCATTTGATAACGCGACACTTTATCACGCGACATTTTATCATGATATACTTAAAACTTAATTTAATATAATTGAAAAGTTAAATTTTGATAATATCTCATTTTTTGACTTTTCCGTCTAAATTTCAATATTAAAAAAATTTAAATTAATTTTTTTTTGTTAACGCCACACTTTATCATGATATACTTAAAACTTAATTTAATATATTTGAAAAAATTAAATTTTGATAATATCTCATTTTTTGACTTTTCCGTCTAAATTCCAATATTTAAAAAATTTAAATTAATTTTTTTTATTGAGAAAAACTCATATTCTAATTTACATAAATATAATTTTTTTTAACTTAATTATCATCTTATATAGGGAAACAGGAGACAAGCAATAATTTTCTATTTATACTTTTTATTAATAAGTAACTATAAATCAATATATCACGAGTAAAAAATATAAATTATTTATAATATATTTAATTGCACGAAATATGGGCAATAGCTTTTAAAAATATTAAATAATCCGACAATCCGTAATTTGAAACATAAATTTGAATCGTCTTTTTATATCTTCATATTTCTTTGATAAGTACGATGTTGTTCCCATCACGACTTGAAGATATAGAGCTTTATGTTTCTGCATATCTTTTTGTATCCCATCTAAAAATTTCCATAGTGTTGGATGAGAACATTGGTATAGGGATTGAATTCCATAGTGCCACCCTTCAACACAATTTGTTGTTCGGGCGACACCTTCTAACGTGGAATTGTGTTTATTCCATAGTCTTACATTATATAAAGGCGCTGCAAAGTTATTTCGTTGCCCTATAAATATATAAATTTATAATAAAAAAAATATTTTTTTTACTGGGATTTCTACGTCCTCGAATATAGGTCTTCTCAAAGTAGGAAATTAGCTCAGATGAGCCATTCAATTCACCAAATATTTCTGCCAAAGTATCAAATGAGTTTCCAACATCATCCTCTTGGACATATGCAAGAGCCGATAAACACCTACTATACAATCGAAAGTCGTCATTCGACTCATACATCTCTTTTAATCCCAAATCGTTTATTTTTCTATTAACGCTCTGTTTTAGATGAAAATAACATCCAAGGATATCTGCGAGTGGATATCCAGCTCTAAACTCATTTATCGGTGCCTGTTCGAAATCCACCAATATTTTCCTCGGATGCGCCCCTGGTAGTAATTGTTTCAGCTCCTATAATAAAATTTAAATTACTGAGTATGATCAAGGGGACCTTTTAAGATATCATTAAATTTTGTTGTAATAAAAGAATGGCATTTTAGAGATTTATATTTGGCGCATCTCCAGCATATTGATTCATTTTTATTTGTCCTAAATTTAGTATATTCGTAATTTTGATATAAAAGGGTAGGTTTATTTTTCGATGTAAATCCTAATTCAAACATTATAATTATAAAAAAAATATTCTTTAATATATAATAATATAGAAAATTGAGGTATATATAGAAAAAAAAATATTATTATATTTATGGGTAAATACAAAACCTTAATTTGTAAAAATTATAAATCTTTGTGAAAAAACGATTAGCTTAAAAAATATCAATAGATAAACACATTAATTTAAGTGTGGTGTTTTATTGATTTATAGTTACTTATTAATAAAAAGTATAAATAGAAAATTATTGCTTATGTCTCCTGTTTCCCTATATAAGATGATAATTAAGTTTAAAAAAATTATATTAATGTAAATTAAAATATGAGTTTTTCTCAATAAAAAAAATACAAAAAAAATTATATAAATTTTTTATGAAATTTAGACGGAAAAGTCAAAAAATGAGATATTATCAAAATTTTATTTTTACAAATATATTAAATTAAGTTTTAAGTATATCATGATAAAGTGTCGCGTTAACATAAAAAATTAATTTAAATTTTTTAAATATTGGAATTTAGACGGAAAAGTCAAAAAATGAGATATTATCAAAATTTTATTTTTTCAAATATATTAAATTAAGTTTTAAGTATATCATGATAAAATGTCGCGTTAACATAAAAAATATTAGACGGAAAAGTCAAAAAATGAGATATTATCAAAATTTAACTTTTCAAATATATAAAATTAAGTTTTAAGTATATCATGATGAAAGTCAAAAAAAATTTAACTTTTCAAATATATAAAATTAAGTTTTAAGTATATCATGATGAAAGTCAAAAAATGAGATATTATCAAAATTTAACTTTTCAATTATAATAAATTAAGTTTTAAGTATATCATGATAAAATGTCGCGTGATAAAGTGTCGCGTTATCAAATGACTGAGTGATAAAGTTTCGTAGTGATAAAGTGTCGTCATGATAAAGTGTCGTCATAATAAAGTGTCGTCGTGATAAAGTGTCGTTGTGATAAAGTGTCGTCGTGATAAAGTGTCATCGTGATAAAGTGTCGCATGATAGTGTCGCATGATAAAGTGTCGTGTGATAAAATGTCGCTAGGCGGCTTTAAAATACATTAATATGAAGGAATTGTCAGACTAAGGATTATTATGCGTTTATATTAACGAAATTCCGTAGATAAGTCCTATTTATTAGAAATCAAACAACGAGAAACAAAAACACAAAATAAAATAAATATAATATTTATTTGTTTCCAAGCAAAAGAAAAATTTAAAAAATAATAGTGCACTGAGTCTGCAGAGGAGTCATTAATAGAACTATAGTGCGAATGTCATCAAGTTAAAATGGATGTAATCCAAAATGTAATGTATAAATATTTAAGCATTTTTACTATATATATATGAATTTTGTATTGTTGCTAGATTTGGGTTTCATGATTTCTAGAACGTTTCGAATAACTTGTCACTTTTTCTTTTATTAATGACAGATAAATCAGCATCTGTACTATCATTAAGAGAGGTTAAATAAAAACAAAAGAATAATTAAGAATAATATTAATGAACTGAACCCACAGAGCAGTTATCATTAGGTGTGCCTTTATAATTGATATCTAAAATACATATATTTTTTTCAATATAAATAATATACTTCTAATCTCACCACAACATTGTAATTAAAATGTCATGTGCGACCCATTAGTTCTAATTTTACCTGAATATTATATTCTACTTCAAAACTGCTCAACAACATTTAATGTGACCCATTAGAATTGAATTTATTGAATTAAATTTAGAATAGAATGATTCGAATAAAAACTATGCATTATAGGTTAGAAAACTGAAAATCACATATATATAATTGTATTTAATTGAATACTGAGTTGAATTTAGAATAAAACGATTTGTAGAAATACTCTGCATACAAAACATATAATAAAATATTTATTTTTATTTATTTTAAGTTTTTTTTGATATTTTTAAATATAAATAAATAAATACGTACCGATGACATGACGTTCAAATGACATGACTTCACCATGATATAAATTAGCTAGGATATCGAAAAATTATAATATAGATATTATGAGTCTCTAAAATTTCATATAGTAATAATTTTATCATTTACATTTTCGGCAGTGAAGTACTTTGAAAATGTAATAAAGATGTGAATATTAGTTCTAAAAATAACAGTTCAGTTCAAAGTATGCATGTAGAAAAACGCCACAAGGGACTGACATCTTTAATCCACAGAAAGAAATAATAGATAAAATATATTTAAAAGAGAATGTTCTATTCTAATATATATTATAACATTTGTAGAATATGAATTTAATTATAAATAATTATCTAATAAAATGTAGTTTATTATCTACTACATAAGTTTCAGAACTCTCAAATTTGCCTAAATATAGTAATAAAGCCAATGACATAAAAATGGTTTTTACACGAATTGTAAATGTACACACTGAAAAAATTTAAACACTATTCGAATTTTTTATTTTATAATTACAAGAAGGGGATAAAATAATGAAATTTTATAAATAACGTTAATTTATATCGTGTGCAATAAAAAGTATTTTAACTTTAATAACAATATAAATGTGAAAATAGATTGCAATTTTACAACTTTGAAAAATTATGATTACATTATGGCTATAGGGCTCAGCACTTCCTCAAAATTAAAAAGGGGGCTAAAAAATCAAGAAAATTATTCACGCGGGGTAGGGGGTTTGATCATCTCGCAATATACACCTAGTCTCCCTTTATTCAATGAATTATGGTAATATCTTTGATTTTGTTCTTTTTTATTCATAACTTCATTTCGTTCCATAAATCATTTATAAACAATGCATATTAAATATATATTAAAAGTGGTAAAAAGATATCCGTCAAATAAACTGTAGGTATAAAGAGTTGTAAAATATTAATAAATCTCAGAGACCTGCAGGCCCGGCCCTAAGCCCGGCCGTATTTTAAATTTTTTAAATATACCCGGGCCGGGCCTAGAAATTTTTTTTTAAACATATCCGGGCCGGGCTTAGAAATTTTTTTTTTAAATATATACGGGCCCGGCCTAAGATTGTTAAACCTGGGCCGGGCCTTAATATTTTTTATAAAAATTTTTACATTATGAGTTAATGGTTATAAGATTATATTATAGTTATGATTAATATAATATTGGGTGATGGTTAACACTACCTAACATCCACAGATCGATCTAATTATTAATTTCCTGCAAATTTATTCAAAGTATTAATATATTTTTTTATAATTCATATTTAAATTTTTACAACATATTTTACCAAAACAATCAAATAAAGGAATATAAGCCCCAATATTCAAGTATTATTAATATATTTTTTTATAATTCATATCTAAATTTTTAGAATATATTTTACCAAAACAATCTAATAAAGGAATATCACTTCTTGAAGTTTGTAATACCTTTCAAAGCGAAAAAGGAGAAATAAAATTGATTTTACTTAATATAAAGCATTTTTTAATTGAAAAATTTGTTTTACACAAGTATCATTTTATTTCTCTTTTTCTCTGTCCCAAATTCAAGCAATTACGTATGTTGTCAGGGACAGATCGCAAGATGACGGAAAACTAGATAAAAGATTATATTAAATTACAAGAGGCTCAGGAAGTAAATAAATACCATCGACCAGTCAAATTACGACTGTTGTTAAACAAACTGAACCGTTTTATGACAAATGGGGCGATGGTAATTCTGGTAATATGTCAATACCCGATGATGAATATTATAATTACATAAATAAAAAAATAGATGAAACATTTAAGGTGGATAATTTGTTAGAGTGCTGGGCGGCTCATCAAAGCGAATTTCCAATTTTAGCAAAATTGGCAAAACGGGTATTGGCAATTCCTGCTTCAAGTGCAAGCTGTGAGCGGAATTTTTCCACTACTGGGTGGGAGAATTCTTGAAGAAAGAAGAAGTAATTTTCAACCTGAAAAGGTAGATATGCTTCTCTTTCTTCATGATAATTTGTGAATTTTTAATATCTTTCTTGATTATGGGGTTTCGTCAATCATGCTGGTTTTTTACTTTGCAAACTGTCAAATATTTATTGCATTTATTATATCTACCTTGGTCATGAAAGTTTTTAATACAACATTTTTCATTATTTTTTTTTACAATATTATATAATACAATTATCTTCTTTTGTTAAAAATTTATATTATAAAATAAATTAAATTAATATTGTGCAATTAGATTATATTTTCAAAATACTATTTATTATATATATGCATTTTTTTAAATAGCGATTTATTTTTATTTTATAAATTAAATAGTAAATTAAATACAATATATTATATTCTCAAAATATTTTCCATTTTTATAAATTAAATATTAGTTTTATTTTTATAAATGCAATATAAAATATAGTATATGCTCAAAATATCCATTTTTATAAATAACAGTTTTATTATTTTATAAATTTACTATAATATTCTCAAAATATTAGCTTTTTACATGTATTTTTTAAATAATAGGCGATAATACTCACTGAAAAATATGGCAAAATACCTCATAGGTGAATTTTTATATATACCAGGTCGAATATAATTTTACAAAATTCCAAGCCGGGCCTTAAATTTTTACATCCGGGCCGGGCCGTAAAATTTTTTTTAAAAAATATCAGGGCCGGGTCGGGCCTAATGTCTCAAAGAAGAAACTATTTTTAAAAGAAAATTTTAAAAAATCTTATCAGAATATTATTGATGGATTAAAAATTAGATTTAATTACCTGTCAACTCTCATATCAATTTTAATTTTATTCGGTCAATATTTAGTGCAGTACCACAATATTTCAAAAAAGATGAAGATAGAAGAGGTAAAGCCTATCCCATTAGTTCAAAGAATAGCATGCCATAGCCACATAAAAGGCCTTGGCTTAGATGCGAAAGGTATGGCTCTACCGTCATCATCTGGTTTGGTAGGCCAAGCTCAGGCTAGAGAGGTATAATAATATTTAGATACATGTTAATGGCCCTTACTTTTAAAGGCATGTGGATTAATTGTCGATTTAATTAAATCAAAAAGAATGGCAGGAAAGGCAATACTACTAGCTGGCCCTCCTGGCACAGGCAAAGTACATAAAATAAATTTGATAATCAACTAAAGATCCTCTTTTTTTTGTCCTAAATTTATTTATTTTTTTTTAACTTAAGACCAGCACAAAATGTTAACATTTAGGTCTTTCTCTTCTCTTCATCTCACCAAAATTTATATTTTACTTCTGAACCTAGGCCATCTTACAATTTTTAATTAAAAGAATACAAATTTAAACACATTTTTCTGTTAAATGATTTAAAAATCACTAGTCTGTCCTTGTCATAGATAAATCTATATTATCATTTTATTTAGATACAGTGAGAGAAAATATCATTTACTATTTATATTTTTAGAATTACTTTTTTTTCAAGTGCATAGCCCAATTTTGTTAAAACTATTTAAGCTCTGCTTGCCCCAAATAAAAATTTTAGGCTCAGACTAGACCCTTTGGGCCACTCTAACACCTGCATTTTAGTAATTTAGTTAATTATATCTGGTTTAGTTACTTAAGTTTTACTATATTAGGCAATCAGAGATAAATAATTTTCAATATAGTTAGCTGTGGTGTTTATGATAATTATTTTAACAAATTGAGAAGATCGAAAAGATAATTTAACTTTTACAATAATATATTTATATATTGATTGTGGGTACATTTACGATAATCAATCAATTACCATTGATAACATAGTGGGGTTTTTGAAACTTTTTTAAGAGTTGTATTTCCATTATGTTCTGCATTGTCCTAATATTCCATCATTGTTATGGGTATTTCCTTAGCTTGTACATGAGCATTTCTCAATTTTTTTTACAATATTCTTAGACTCAACATAGAATATCACACTTTTTCTGAATCACTGTCCCTTCATGCCATCCCACTGTCTTTTCTTTTTCTACCCTAACCTTTTGCTTCTCTTCAAATTCACTTATTTTCATATTGCATCTTCAATCCTTTCTCTCGCAGACAGTTTACATTGATCTAACAGCACCCTGAGCATCCTTCTAAACATCATTTTGGTAAGGGATTTACTGGTAGTTAAATTTGGAGTATTTTGATAGTAATTAAAACATTCACTAAATTTAACTGGTTTGGAGTCACACATCTCCTAACATAGAAACGTGTCATCGTACATATATAGTGCTCAAACCATTTTAGGGTAAGCTATAAGGGGCCAATCTAAAATGTTATGTTGTTTTTAGTTTTAGATCCAGTAAACTCAGTACCCCTATCTGAAACAGTATAGCGAGGTAAACAAAATCTAGCGAAATAATTACGCAGATTATTTATTACACTCACCAAATTAATATGTGCTTTAAAATTGCAACTTCAACCCATTTGGTGAAGGCGTCTACGCAAATTAACCAATACTTTCCAGATACGGGGCCTGTCAAATCAATGTGTATTGTTCCAAAGGTCGGGTAGGAATATTCCAATTGTATATCGGCACCTCTCTGGGCTCCTGGACATCCTTTCTGACGCCTCTTTCAGCATTTAACGAAATATTTGTACCCACTTACAAGGGCCTTCTAATTTAGATTACCAGTTTTTTTTGTCATTAATTATTATGATGGGGCAATAATACAAATTATCGCTAATAAATTTAACAGACCAGAGATCTATCAATATAAAATAAAAATGCAATAAATTTAATTTGTAATAAAAGACCGCATTAGCCATAGCTATAGCGCAAGAATTGGGTAGTAAAATTCCGTTTTGCCACATGGTAGCTAGCGAAGTGTATTCCTCCGAAGTCAAAAAGACGGAAGTGCTGATGGAAAATTTTAGGAAAGCTATAGGTTTAAAAATTTTTTTTTTTATATAAATAATATAAATTTTTTAATGACACCCTTCCCTCTCCCCCACTTTTTTTGTTATAAATTTTTACTCGATAACTAATATTTTAAATTTTCTTTCTTTCCTCCCTTCTTTCTTTCTCTATTTCCTTCTTTCTTTCTCTATTTCCTTCTTTCTTTATTTCTTCTTTCATTATTTCCTTCTTTCTTTATTTCTTCTTTCATTATTTCCTTCTTGCTTTATATCCTTCTTTCTTTATTTCCTTCTTTCTTTATTTCCTTCTTTCTTTATTTCCTTCTTTCTTTATTTCCTTCTTTCTTTATTTCCTTCTTTCTTTATTTCCTTCTTTCCTTATTTCCTTCTTTCTTTATTTCCTTCTTTCTTTATTTCCTTCTTTCTTTATTTCCTTCTCTTTCTTTCTTTGGCTTGATCCAAATTTTTTTTTTATTTGAGAAATTTAAATAAAGCACATTTTTATATGAAGAATTAAGATAGGCTTAACAAAATCAACTAGTAGATTTGTCTTTGTGTAGTACCAGAGAAATTACTGATTTTATTTTTAAGCTAAAAGAAAAGACAATACAATACTATTTCTCTTAAGGCCAAGCCCTATGTAAAATTTTTTGGGCTTAAAAAAAGAACTTTTTTGTCTTATCTTTAACTGCACGAGGAATTTTCTTATATTCTCTTAAAACCGATCCAATGAACAGATAACCGATACAAATTTTAATTATCGTAATCAAATTTCCCTTATTTTTTATTTTAGGCATAAGAATCAAAGAAACCAAGGAAGTTTTTGAGGGAGAAGTTACGGAGATTTCCCCTTACGAAGTTGAAGACCAATCTGGAGGTTCGGAATTATTATAATAAAATAAAATTATGTTTTAGGTTTTTTTTATATCACATGTTTTTGTGAATAGGAATATACCACTAGAAATATAGGAATCTTTCATTTAAATCAAAATTGTATTTCAGCTTGGCCTGGTACGAAGAGAGTAAACCCCTAAAACTATGAATTTTCTGAACAATTTTTGCACATATACTTTTGAGCAGTCCGAAATTCATGTGGCAGGTTATTCTAACAACAGTTTGGAATATATTTCTGCCCTAATCTAAAGAATAAAAAACCCCCTACCCCCTTTAAACGAGAGATTCCGGTTCCTAGTGGAATCCATGATCCCAATCCTACATATCGTCAGCTGATCATGATAAGTGTTCTATCCCCACTGTTATTTTTGCTAAATAAACTTTTCATTATATTACGTGATACTGAGAATAATCCCCCTTATTTTACATTTATTAACATTGTTATCTCCTATTTTAAAGGAAAAAAAAAATGGATATTATAACAATTAATATTCAGGCGACGATATATAATATATATTTTTTAATAATTTTTTTTTTGAGAATTTTTACATTTTAAAATCTAAACGGTTAGAAATAATTTTTAGTAGTTGGTTTGGTAGCTGAAGTTATCTTGGAATTTAACGCTTAAAATTGGGATTTGGGTGGGGGGGGGGGAAGGAGGGGTTTGTCAACCCTTATAGTGGCGTTTAAACGCAAATTACGCATTTTCAAAATGGCTTCGTGCAAATTGGTAAAATTTACCGTTTGGCGTTAGCAACCATTTAAAAAAAATCGCAAATAGGTTTTGCTTTTTCGTTACCTGTTTTTTTTTTCAATTCTTCGCTTTGTATTATTATATAATAAAAATGTTAATATAAATAACTTACATATATATCCTAAAAAAAAGGAATATTTAAAAATTTAAAGAAATAAGAAGGCAGACGATAAAATAATTTTGAAAATTAAAAGAAATAAGATAGGCAGACGATAAAATAATTTTGAAAATTAAAAGAAATAAGATAGGCAGACGATAATATAATTTTCAAAATCTTTTTATTTAATGTTAACCACTTTCGGGCGCGGTCTAAAAAAGAGTGTTAATGATTTTTTTTGTATAGTGGTATCATATGGATACCCCCGGCCTTATCGGGAGGCGTAGAAAATTTTTAGTTGATTTTTGGATGAAAGCAGAACATTGCATTTGATCGATTAAACGTCCATCTTTATTAAATTCGATTTGATCGTCAAAATTTTTTTTCCCGGCAATGTGCTATTTCTCCAAATGTAAATCCTTTTTTTTTTTTCAAATTTCAAAAATTTAATTTTACCGGAAATGTGTGGGATCTATCACGTGATACCTACTCCACGAATTCCAGACAATTTTGTTATTAACTTTTGAACTTGATATAATATATATATATCAGTTTCTAGAATAGATTTTTTTAAAATATAAATTATAAAAAATTACTCAAAGGTAAAAAAGGCGGCAAAATCTGATTTTAAAATTTAAAAAAACGCGCTCGAAAAATGATTTAAAGTTTTAAAAATATGAACACACACACACACTATTTAAATTTATTAAATAATTAAAAAAATTAAGGGTTCGGGAAAACAATTAGTCACGTGGTTGTCGGTTTGAAGACGGCAAAAGGCAGCAAGCAACTAAAGCTAGACCCATCCATTTACGAAAGTTTCCAGAAAGAGCGAATCCTAACAGGGGACGTTATCTACATGGAGTCCAACAGTGGCATAGTCAAGGTTTAAAAAATTTTTTTTTTGTTTTTTAAATTATAAAATCCCGACTTCACATGATTTCCCCATTTTTTTTTTGCAAAAAAAAATATGCCCCCGGAAAGACAGAGGATATATTAAATATTCGTTTTCTTTCATAAAAGGCATCAAATCTTATGAATAAAATCATATGTTGATTTTTTATGAATTAGAGCATTGTGGAAAAAAAATTTATAGGCTGGCCCTTTATATTTAAAAAAAAAAATTTCCCGGGTCGGGCTTTGCGGATCTCTACTTGGCGCTAAAGTGAAAGTCACGTGAGTCTAAAATGAAGTCAGGTTTTATCCTCCCCTAAATCCAATCATTAATCCCGCCCTAATTTTTGAACGTCCAAATAATCTATAGAGGTACTAAAAATGTTCAGTACGCGTTAGTGAGACTATTCAAAGGCTTAGATTTTGTGGTACGAACTATATGCAGGTGACCTGTAGAGGTACCATTTGTACGGTCTGGCCGGGCCCGGATTTTTAAAAAAATTTTTATCCGACCCGGCCCGGTTTCGGTTTTTAAAAAAAATGTCTGGCCCGGGCAGGTCTCTGCTATACACTATTGTGATGTAAAGAATTAATGGTAATACATTCTAATAAATTGCTTTTGTTATTTAATCGTTTAAAAAAAACATGTTTTAAATACATATTTTGAGCTAATTTTTTTTAAAAAAAACGGGCCAACTCAATATTTTATCCCGCCAATTACTCAAGCCTAATTGCTCATAGATGGCACAAAAGGTTTAGTCATCTATTAGCTAAATTTCGGTGCTCAGGCAATGGTTTTGTTATTGGGTTTGCCGTTTTAACTGAAATCGAGCTATTTAACAAAAAACACTACATACACATATACCTATTTAGATAATATTATAGTTATCAATATAATTTATTTTTGCAAATAATTGACTATATTTGAATACTCTATTACCCCTCAATTATTGTCGGTTGTAAGCATCTCCACCGTAAAACTTTACTATAAAGGGGTTAAAGTATCGCGATACATTTGGGGTGTCGTTCTACCAACTGGCTCACTTATAATCATAATTGAATTGATGACACTCAAATAGTGTTGCGTAATCGGCTAATTTTAGCCGACTAAAAACGGCTTAGCCGAGATTTTAGGTGGAAAAATCGGCTAAGCCTAATTAGGTATAGCCTAAAAATCGGCTAAGCCTAATTAGGCTAAGCCTAAAAATCGGCTAAGCCTAATTAGGCTAAGCCTAAAAATCGGCTAAACCTAATTAGGCTAAGCCTAAAAATCGGCTAAGCCTAAAAATTGGCTAAGCCTAAAAATCGGCTAAGCCTAAAAATCGGCTAAGCCTAAAAATTGGCTAAGCCTAAAAATCGGCTAAGCCTAAAAATTGGCTAAGCCTAAAAATGGGCTAAGCCTAAAAATTGGCTAAAATAAATTAGTCAAAATTCTGCATCGATGCTTAGCATTAATTATTATTTATTTATTTTAGTAAAATAATTTATTTTATTTATATTTAATGTAAATATTTTATTATTATCAACAAATAAACATGATATGATTTAATATTTTTTATTTATATTATTATATTTTGAAATGAAAATAAATTTATTTATTTGATGTTTTTTTAATAAAAAAAATAATAAGCTGCTATATTGTAAAAATGTAATATTTTTTTATATAATTTATTAGTGATTTTCACAATCTTCTTTGTAAATACATCTTTTATTGAGGAATTATATTGTAAATTTTATTAGATAAATAAACAATCTTTTAGGTGAAATCTTTTATCATTTTTTTAAAATTATCTATTTATTATTAAATAAGGTGGATTTTATGAAACTTTTTTGATGTTATTTTATATGATCTTTTTAAGGATAATATTTTAATGTGACAATTGTCATAATCGTTCTTTTATAAGTTTTTTGAATTTTTTTGAAGGAAGTATGTTAAAATAAGTATTAATAACATGTGTAAATACATATTTAGTGAAGATGTACCAATGAAAAGTGACAATTGTCATAATCGTTATTTTTAAAGTTTTTCGAATTTTTTTGACGAAAATATGTTAAAATAAGAATTAATAACATGTGTAAATATAAATTTAGTGAAGATGTACCAATGAAAAGTGACAATTGTCATAATGGTTAATTTTAAAGTTTTTTGAATTTTTTTGACGAAAATTTGTTAAAATAAGTATTAATAACATGTGTAAATATAAATTTAGTGAAGATGTACCATAGAAAAGTGACAATTGTCATAATCGTTATTTTTAAAGTTTTTTGAATTTTTTTGACGAAAATATGTTAAAATAAGTATTAATAACATGTGTAAATATAAATTTAGTGAAGATGTACCAATGAAAAGTGACAATTGTCATAATCGCTATTTTTAAAGTTTTTTGAATTTTTTTGACGAAAATATGTTAAAATAAGTATTAATAACATGTGTAAATATAAATTTAGTGAAGATGTACCATAGAAAAGTGACAATTGTCATAATCGTTTTTTTTTAAAGTTTTTTGAATTTTTTTGACGAAAATATGTTAAAATAAGTATTAATAACATGTGTAAATATAAATTTAGTGAAGATGTACCATAGAAAAGTGACAATTGTCATAATCGCTATTTTTAAAGTTTTTTGAATTTTTTTGACGAAAATATGTTAAAATAAGTATTAATAACATGTGTAAATATAAATTTAGTGAAGATGTACCATAGAAAAGTGACAATTGTCATAATCGTTTTTTTTAAAGTTTTTTGAATTTTTTTGACGAAAATATGTTAAAATAAGTATTAATAACATGTGTAAATATAAATTTAGTGAAGATGTACCATAGAAAACTGACAATTGTCATAATCGCTATTTTTAAAGTTTTTTGAATTTTTTTGACGAAAATATGTTAAAATAAGTATTAATAACATGTTTAAATATAAATTTAGTGAAGATGTACTAATGAAAAGTGACAATTGTCATAATCGCTATTTTTAAAGTTTTTTGATTTTTTTTGACGAAAATATGTTAAAATAAGTATTAATAACATGTGTAAATATAAATTTAGTGAAGATGCACCATAGAAAAGTGACAATTGTCATAATCGTTATTTTTAAAGTTTTTTGATTTTTTTTGATTTTTTTTGACGAAAATAGTTAACTTGCATCGATATTGATTTTAAAATAGAAAAAAAAGTTTACCCAAATTTTAAACAAGATTGTCTGGTGAAAATTGGTAAAAAAATAATAATTTCTAACTTAGGATTAGATATTATGATATAAATTTTGCATATTAATTTCTGACCCGATGAACAAATGTAATAAAATGCCAATTTGCTCCTGTTTTTGGGGAAGAATCTATTATTACCATATGTTTTTCTATGGCATATACTCAGGCAATTTTAATTTTACAATCTATATTTTTACCCATTTACATCAAAGAAATTTTAAAAATAACGATTATGACAATTGTCACTTTTCTATAGTAGATCTTCACTAAATTTTTATTTAAACATGTTATTATTACTCATTTTAACATATTTTCGTCAACAAAAATCAAAAAACTTGAAAAATAATGATTATGACAATTGTCGCTTATCTAGAGTACATCTTCATTAAATTTTTATTTAAACATGTTATATATACATATTTTAAAATATTTTCGTCAAAAAAATTCAAAAAACTTTAAGAATAACGATTATGACAATTGTCACTTTTCATTGGTACATCTTCACTAAATTTATATTTACACATGTTATTAATACTTATTTTAACATATTTTCGTCAAAAAAATTTAAAAAATAACGAATATGACAATTGTCACTTTTCATTGTCTTCACTAAATTTATATTTACACATGTTATTAATACTTATTTTAACATATTTTCGTCAAAAAAATTCAAAAAACTTTAAAAATAACCATTATGACAATGTCAATTTTCTATGGTACATCTTCACTAAATTTTATTTAAACATGTTATCAATACTTATTTTAACATATTTTCTTCAAAAAAATTCAAAAAACTTATAAAATAACGATTATGACAATTGTCACTTTTCTATGGTACATCTTCACTAAATTTTTATTTAAACATGTTTTTAATACTTATTTTAACATATTTTCTTCAAAAAAATTCCAAAAACTTATAAAATAACGATTATGATAATTGTCACTTTTCTATGGTACATCTTCACTAAGTTTTTATTTAAACATGTTTTTACTACTTATTTTAACATATTTTCTTCAAAAAAATTCAAAAAACTTTAAAAATAACGATTATGACAAATGTCACTTTTCATTGGTACATCTTCACTAAATTTATATTTACACTAATACTTATTTTAACCTATTTTCTTCAAAAAATTCAAAAAACTTATAAAATAACGATTATGACAATTGTCACTTTTCATTGGTACATCTTCACTAAATTTATAATTACACATGTTATTAATACTTATTTTAACCTATTTTCTTCAAAAAAATTCAAAAAACGTATAAAATAACGATTATGACAATTGTCACTTTTCTATGGTACATCTTCACTAAATTTTTATTTAAACATGTTTTTAATACTTATTTTAACATATTTTCTTCAAAAAACTTTAAAAATAACGATTATGACAATTGTCAATTTTCTATGGTACATCTTCACTAAATTTTTATTTAAACATGTTATTAATACTTATTTTAACATATTGTCGTCAAAAAAATTCAAAAAACTTTAAAAATAACGATTATGACAATTGTCACTTTTCTTTGGTACATCTTCACTAAATTTATATTTACACATGTTATTAATACTTATTTTAACCTATTTTCTTCAAAAAAATTCAAAAAACTTATAAAATAACGATTATGACAATTGTCACATTAAAATATTATCCTTAAAAAGATCATATAAAATCATCAAAAAAGTTTCATAAAATCCACCTCATTTAATAAAAAAGATAATTTAAAAAAAATGATAAAAAAATTATAAAAGATTTCACCTAAAAGATTGTTTATTTATCTAATAAAATTTACAATATAATTCCTCAATAAAAGATGTATTTATAAAGAAGATTGTGAAAATCACTAATAAATTATATTAAAAAGAATATTACAATTTTACAATATAGCAGCATATTATTTTTTTTATTAAAATAACATCAAATAAATATATTTATTTTCATTTGAAAATATAATAATATAAATAAAAAATATTAAATCCTATCATGTTTATTTGTTGATAATAATAAAATATTTACATTAAATATAAATAAAATAAATTATTTTACTAAAATAAATAAATAATAATTAATACTAAGCATCGATGCAGAATTTTGACTAATTTTTAGCAGATTTATATAGGCTTAGCCGATTTTCAGGCTTAACCTAATTAGGCTTAGCCGATTTTTAGGCTTACCTAATAAGGCTTAGCCGATTTTTAGGCTTAATCTAATAGGCTTAGCCGATTTTTAGGCTTAGCCTAATTAGGCTTAGCCGATTTTTAGGCTTAGCCTAATTAGGCTTAGCCGATTTTCAGGCTTAGCCTTATTAGACTTAGGCGTAGTTTTTAGCCGATTACGCAACACTACACTCAAACAAAAAAAACAACTTTATTTTATACTAGAGAACTGGTAGGAGTGACGCTTTCGCTTCAGAGTTCGATATGGAATCAGAACAATACGTTCCTATCCCCAAGGGAGAGGTTCACAAAAGACGGGAAGTCGTTCAAGACATAACCTTGCACGATTTGGACTGCTCGAATGCCAGACCTCAGGTTTTTTATTAGAAAATATAAGAAAGGGAAAGGATATTGAAATAACCACGAGTATAGAAATAATCCTCTTCTGGCTTAATTCATTTCAGTCTTGGTTTTCTTTCTTTTGTTAGAAAATGATAAGGCTTAGCTTGAAGGACGCAACGTGTACGTTACCCACAACATGCATAATCAGGCCATCCTATGCAATATTTTTATTAAAATATATAATAGTAGCGGAGTTGGTCAGTACCACAAATACTTGTATCTAAGTTACAAGATCTGTATCTCGTACTCAGTATCTTTTTGACATTTTTTAAGATACTAAGTATCTGTATCTAGATTTTTTTTTTCCCGGAGGACCTGTCCAACTCTGAGTGGTAGGTAATTTAAACAAGTTCAGATTTTATTTTGCCGAAAAATATATAGCCAGTATGTTGTGTGTTAAAAAAAATTTCCTTTAAATTTTCGGAGAGGATTTGATCGCAGACTTTTCCGCTTAATTTATACGCCAAAAACTATATGGATCGCCCGATTAGCGTTTACACGCGTTGCCTATAACAATATGAATTATTTCACGCCTCAAAACTCGCGGATTTTCTTCTGCACTCATCGTTTATTAGATTGACGTGGCGATTTAGCCAATTATTTAGCTATTAAAATTACCCAACTATAATGTCTAACATAATATTATAATGTTAAAAAAAACAGGGAAATCAGGATATCCTGTCTATGATAGGCCAATTGACAACCAATAAGAAGACAGAAATCACTGGTAAATTTATTGTTTTTTTATACACATCTATATTAAATTGTTTTGAAACCCTACATTTTTTATTAAATTATTGCAAATTTAATTCTTTTAATAGCCTCGCGGTTTAAACTTTGAAATGCCAATATATTTTTTTTCTTTTAGAAACTTAAAAGCCACTTTAATTGCCAAATTCACTTTTCAAATCTAGAATTAGTTAATGGGAACTGTTACTAGAAACCTCCATATGATTTTTTTCTTCTTCTGAATATTATTCAGTAAAAATGACATTTATTTTAGTAAAGTCTTTTTCATAATAATGATTGCCAAATAAGCCTAACTTTAACTGCAACATATTTTTTTGACATAAAATCCGCCATTTTGTGTCGTTCGATCCGCCCAATTCAAAATGCAGCGAGGAATTAAACGAATAAAATAGACACGGTGTTCCCCCCCCCCCTTACTTTGATTTTATCGTTTTTATTATTTATTTTTTTCGTAAGAAAAGTTGAGAAGCGAAATTAACAAACAGGTCAACGGTTACATAGACGAAGGCGTTGGCGAATTAATTCCGGGCGTCTTGTTCATAGATGAGATCCACATGCTGGACCTGGAATGCTTCACCTTCCTGCACAGGGCTATCGAATCAACCGTTTCTCCCCCTATCCTCATATTCGCAACGAATAGGGGTGTCTGTCATGTCAGGTATTTTTTTTTTTCACGCTCAAAATTTTTCTGACTTATTTGAATTCAACTCTTCCGATATTTCTCTTTAACATAGGTCGCAATAAATATCTATTTAATATTAGCCCAATGGCATAGCTACGGGGGTGGTTTTCAGGTTTGGACCACTCCCAGAGCAAATTTTTTTTTAGATTATACGTTCAAAAGACTTGGAAGTGACTTTGTATCAAACATTAATATTTATATTTTTTTGGTTTTGATGTTTGTGAAAGGATATTTACTATTGAATTTATTCTGGGTAATATTATTATAAAGTCATTGAGAATAATCTACTAAATTATAATAACATATTATTCATGCATTTAAAAAAATATTTATATATATTGTCGAAGATGTGGTTATGATTTTTAAGATAAACCCGGCCGAAGGCCGGACAAAAGGGCCGAAGGCCCGTTGAAGGGGGTCTGGGGGCGAAGCCCCCAGGATTATATATGTATGGACCCCCTCTAAGGAAAATTCCTAGCTACGCCACTGTATTAGCCCATATTTTTTTTATTAATCTTAATATCATTTTTTAAATCTCTTATATTTTTGTTTTGAATATAATCAAAAATATTTGCTTAAATTACAGATTATTTATTAGATATTAATATTACATAATTTGGCTAAGGTAATATACTTGTATTGACCATCGCAAAATTCTAAAAAATAAAAATATGAACAAGGGGTGCTGACATTAACATAACTTCTCCCCATGGCATACCCAGGGACTTGTTGGATAGACTCGCCATCATCAGAACCTTACCTTACGATGCCGAAGAGATCACGTCTATTCTCAGGCTCAGGTCATCAATAGAATCCATCCACTTTGCTCAGCCCGAGGCCCTGACTTATATGGGGCTTCTAGGAACCAGTACCACTCTAAGGTTTTTTTCTTCTTTCTCTCTTTAAATAAATCGAAAGTTAAATAAAAGTTGTATAAAGAATTGGGTTAAGTTACAAATATGATCAATTAAATAAGTTGCTGAAGTAATCCAGATCCTTTCAACAAAATTAAATCGCTCATTGCTGGCAATATTTTTTTTTAAAGTATCGTACTAAATGAAGTTACTTTTTAGGCTACTATTACTATTTTTTTTAGAATATATAACTTCATCACACGATTTGATCCTTTGCATTCCGCTTTTAAGCTGATTAGTGGAAACATTATTCTTATTTTAAAAACTTTAGCTTACATTATCGGTTATCATCCAACTATTTCAAACTTTAATATTTTTTAGATAGATATCTTGATTTGACTAGGTTGGATATTTAAAACAGTGACAAATTTTTGAACATAATAGTTTTAGTTTTTCGCATGGCATTTTTTGACGTTTATTTGCACAAAATAAAAAAATTAATTTTTCAACTCTTTTCCTAGTGGAATTAGAATATCCGGTTTATTAACTTGGAATAAACCATGAATACGAATATTCAGAAAGTTTTAGGCAAATTATTTTCTTTTTTTGAAATTTACATAAATAGAAAAAAAAATTTTTTAATGATAATTTTGGTTGTTAAATAATATTTTTCGATTAAGTATTAAATATTTATATTTTATTCATCAAGGAAAGTAAAATTTTTGTCCGAATAAAACTTGGAAAAAAAAATGAAATCATTCGAAATTATATTTAAAAATTAAAATTTCTTAAGTTATGAAGTTAATATTTATTATAATAATTAATTTAAAAAATAACTATAACAGCTATGGCCGGGACACAGGAATTCATTGATCAAATTTGAGAAACTCAAAAAAACGAAATTAATTACTTTTTTTTAAAAACTTTTTCTAACACATTTGGAGTAAATTAAGCTTTTAAAAATAAATCGACCGTTTGAAATTTAAATAAATATTTGTCATTTCCCTAAACTATTTTATTTTATAGATTATTTAAATAATAACTCATTGTTTTATTTTATTTATTTTTTTGACAAGATACGTTTGTCAATTACTGTCGCCAACGTACATCTTGGCCAAGAGCAAAGGTAAAATAGGGATCGATATCGAAGATATAGACGAGATCAAGGAACTGTTCCTGGATGCGAAAACATCTTCCAAATTAATTTACCAACAGAGGGACAAATTTATCGTCTGATTTTTTGGTTCTTGCCCGTTTGCGGCAATTATTGTGAAATATTTTTATATTAACTCGTATCATATACTATTGTAAAATCGCGAATGAACTTGATATTATTATATAATAAATAAAAAGAATTTTCGAGTTGTGCATTGCAAAAAAAATTGCTAAAATATAATCTAGAAGTCGATTATAGGTCACACGACAATTCGGGATAGCGATAATTAGACTCAATGACTATTTCTACCTTATATTCAAAATATTATTGAATAAAAGAAAACATTTAAATATGATGGTCTCTGTTAAGTTTATCGTTACATATCAATTAAATATTTAAATATTGTATAACGTGCTATAATTAAAAAAAGAATAATTTTTTTTTCCACTAAAATATAAAAACAAATCAAAATAAAAGTATTTTCTCCTGATTATTATTGATATCAATACATAAATGCAATGATTAATAGTTTGAAGTAAGGATCGATATAGTATATCTATTTTTAATGAGATTAGATTCTCTCATAACAATATTTATTTATTCATGTAGACACAATTCAATTATAATCGGAAATTACATTATAACGATTGATGCTCACTATATTTATGTTATAGTTAACATTCACGATGATTATATTAATCATAAATAACTATATATATAAATCATTATATCGCCGGGGTGGCCTAGTGGTGTTTACGATGTATGCTTTAAGCCAAAGGTACCGGGTTCTATCCTGGTAGGGGAAACCTAATGTGAGCGAGATACCCGAAGGAGCTTAGTACCAGAAAAGGTGAAAGCTAAAAGGTGAAAGAGGTAAAATAATAATATTATAGCGGAGGATAAAGCTGGCGAAGAGGCGTTGATTAGTAAATCAAAGGGAGGGGGTTTAAGGGCAGTCCTAGTCCTACTACGTGAAAGGAAATAAAAGAATATACTTTGAAGCACAAGGAATTGACTTTGATAAAATTATGTTAAAATCTTAATTGTTTCATCATATCATTTTGGTCCTTATTTTATGTTCCAAAATGTTTCATTTCTAATATGGCATCCTTGCCGTGTGTAAATAACTCAAGGCTTCGATATATTTGCACAATTATTTCTTCAAAAGATTTTTAGTGTTTTTATTTTATCAATTTATCCAACATAATAAATTCTGAAACTAGCTTACATCGTGAGTGTCATGGCCATTACTGCAAATTAACCTGCATCTATTATTTGTGTGGGTATGTAATTTTAAGATTATTACTACAGCTGCTGAGAGCATATGAATGCATATTTTAGATATGCAATAATGGTCAACTGTTTAGTCGTTTATATATCATTAAAAATGGAAGATAATCTTTTAGAAATTTAATATCACAATAATTTTCTTGATTACTTATCTAGCTTATCATATCATCTAAGAGGAAGCTCTAACTACTATATAGTTTTATGATTTGGATTGGTCGTTTATATTCTCTTCTTCAAGAATTGGTATGAGGCATGTATGAATTAAGTAACCTTTTTTATCACTCGTAATTCTTTGGACGCAAATTTTTTTTATATCAGCAATCGAAAATATTGTATACTGATAATAAATTAGATTTTGTATTAAAAAATATTATTTTTAGAAATGTCTCGTATTGTTTTAATTATTTATATGCCAATTTATTTTGTATGCATAATATAATAAATGAAAAAAATATGAAATTCATAATAATTGTTCAGATTTAACAAATTTTAAAAAGAATAATATATAAAATATAAATTTTTAGCTGAGCCCCCTGAGATTGTAAAGGCTAGCGACGCCCCTGAAATATGGGTCTCCTGAAACATTTTTGGAGTAAAGTATGACCAGGATATTGACATTTGCGCCACTAGGTAATTCGATCCCTGAAAGCACCCTTTTTTTTAAAAAAAAACTAATCAATCGGAACGAGAGATTATTTGAAGAGTTTAGACAGTTATGGAGTATTAGTACGTACAAATTGAACGTTTCCACAGCGTTTTTAAAACGCATATCAATAATATAAAATATAAAACGCGAACGTACTCAATTTAAACAAATGCACTTAAAATGCATTATTCGCGTTTTGTAACGCGGCGTTGAAATATTCAATTTGTGCGCACTATAAGGTTAATATATAATATGTTAGCGGCATTGCGTTTTTATCGGCAATGGGTTATTTTTGAGAGCCTTTTTTTAAAAAAATTTTTATAAACCCTGAATTTACCGGGAATGTAAATCCATTATGTTTGGAATGGATACCATTATGAATTTCAGACAATTTTCCCATAAACATTTGAACTAGATATAATTTATATATTAGATATTTTATTTTATTTTTTTTTATCCCCATAAGATTTTTCGCAATAAATTTTTTTAAAAAGAAACTCGAAATCTTATAACGGTGAAATTCCATTTGTTGTAACTAACACCTGCTAACCTTATCATGGTGGCAGCGGTGGGATTTGAACCCAAGCCTCCGAGGAGACTGATAATTACAAAAGAGATTTTCTCACTATTATTGGTCTCAATACATAAATGTAATGATTAATAGTTGAAGTAATGGTCGTGAAAGTTAAAAATAAATAAATTTTGTAATATCTCTTTTTAATAAATTTGATTCTCATACAATATATATTTATTCGTTACACATAATTTAGTTATAATCGGAAATTACATTAATAATTATTGATGCTCACTATATATGTTAAGGTGGTTAACAAGTCACAATGGTTATATTAAATCATGAATATATATATATATAATCTTTATAAAACATATAATAAATATCCATATATATAATCATTATAAAAGGTATAATAAATTCCTAAACTACATTTCCCCTTCATTAATAGAAAGGAAACCTGCATATACTAGATGGCATCCACGACTTAAAGTTTCTCTAAAAATCTTTTCCTGTGGTTTCCATTTACCTTTATCATGTGGTGTTACCCTTATTAACCTTAGCTAAATTTTGGCTACCTGTATCTCTTCACCAATTAAAGTTTTGATCTCTCAAAAGAGCACCAATATTGGTTTTGGTACTGATCTTGACTAGAGTATCTGTATCGATTCCCTTTTTAATTGATCTCTCGGAGTATCAATATCGACAGATATCCCACCAGAGTATTCTTATCGAGGCCATTGTATGCTTGATCTCCCACCAGAGTATCGTTATCGAGGCCATTGTAGATTGATCTACATTGTACTCGAACGGCCAACGAGGTCACCATTAGAGCTGGCAAAGGAATCTGTATCATCCTTGGATGGACCCATGAGGTCATTGTTAACTTAGATCTGGCCAAGAGATATCTATTTACTTTTTAGAATTTCACCCTATTTTTTCCCTAAAATTTTCTCCGATTTCTTCCCTAAAATTCACAAATCTCCAATCCCTCTCTCCTCCCCATTCTCTATTAAACATAGTTTCAATCCCTGGCAATCTTTCTTCTCACCAATATTTCCCATCTAACTTTCATCATCACTTTTAATGGGCGCAAATATACATAACTGTCATTTCCGATCCATAAAACTGCCGAACTCTTATTTCCCCCCTTTTAATAGCTTCATCAGGCCACCCCATCACTGAAATCGCTGCTCATGTATCAAATAACAATGATACACTTCCATTAAATTTTTTTAACACTCTAGGACAAATGTCATACGCTATCCCTTATTGTATCATATTTTTTTATATTTTTAACATCCCTAGTAAATTTTATATTTCTTATCCCTTTCCTCGGCCACACTCCCTTTCCCATTGATCACTCTTCACCATCGTAAAGTCACCAACTCATACAATCTCTCGCCACATGTCCCTTCTTTCCGACAATTAAAACACAATACTCTCAATTTTCCTCTTTATAAATTGGACATAATTATTTTTGTGCATCTTTCACTTTCTATAGCCCGCACACATAGGGAGTATTCTGATCCATTCCTCTTTGTAGAAAACCACCTCTTTTATTATACTTGCTAGCGCTACCCTCTTTATTATGACCAAATATCCCAACCCAGTATATCTCAATTTATCTTGTTTAAGGGGAAAATACGGAGCTATATGACCATATTTTTCCACACTCAGAACACTTTGTTTCCTGACAATCTCTGATCATATGGCATTGCCTACCACAGTTATAACATATAACATCTCACCTCCCCTGAGAATTGAATCTCGATCTCAGCTTATATTTCCCATAAGGTCTCAACGCTTGATTATTATATCTATACCTTTCATATAATCTCCACCCTGGGATCTATTTATTAATAGATTTTTTTGCAGCCCCAATATCTCACTATCAGTTCAACCCCTTATTAACTATTGGAGAGGCAACCACCACTTTTCTCATCACATCATCCTCGCCATTATGCTCTTCTATTGTCAAGTTTAGTCCCTTAATCCTCACACTTCAACTCTTCCTAGTCAACTATACTAATACACCCATATACATAAAATTAAGGCTAACACAATATTATAGAAATTCCAAATATTTTATAAATTTTAAACTTTTCAAGTTTATAAAAAAATTTAATGTTACCTTTAAAATAAATATTTTTGATTACTTGTAATGTTAACAGATAAGATAGAATTAATAATGTAAAACATACATCCCATTAATAATACATATGCATAAACTTGACTTAAATTATAATCAGTTTCAGATAAAATTTGTTTAAATTTACCCCTCCCTAAACAATTTATTTAACGCTAATTATTTATCAACTATATTTATATTGTAAATTTAATTCAAATTTTTACACCAATCTTATCAACTCTCTATATTCCTCTTATAATTTAATTCAAATTTAACTTTTACGATATTATTCAATTATAATTTTTCAGCACTAGTTCTAATTATATTCAAATTTACCGCTAATCATAACAGATAACACTATTTCCCCGTATATTTTGCTTAAATTTAACACTCTCGGTATTATTCAATAATCAAATTGAAAAGTATTTGTTCTTTATGTAATTTTAAATCGCCGCTTGATGAACTCTTAAAAGAGATATTTTTATCTTAGGAGTAGGGTTGCCTGAGCTGGACAAAGAACTTCGGTCAAAATACACCGAAGGAAATATCACTTTTTGAAGAAACCGTGCGTGCAATAGCGCTGTTTCTC